CTTATTTTGACATAATAGCTATTTTTCAATAAATATATTGATATTAAACTTATTGAATCAATATTTTAAGTTTCACGCCAGTTGTACAAAAGGTTATATAAAGCGCTATAGGCTATAGCGCATCATAAGTTTCAGATGGCATGCAACATGTACGCACTGCGTACCTATTTTTAGTAATTTTGTTAACAAGTGTAAGCCAATCAGAAGCCTGCGTTTCTATACGAACGCCACTACCAAGAAAACCTATAGTTCCGTGCAGGCCCTTTATTCTTCGCACCGCCCATAACCCAAGGCTTGTTCGCAGGCTACGAAGATATCGGTCTTCAAAAGTTGCCTTGCGCAAACTTAAATACCACCGCTCGAATTTGTGGGTTTCGAACGGATTAGCGTTTTTAAAAGCCTTTCAAATCGAGGTTTGAGAGGTTTTATTTTTAAAAGGATATTTTTATCTTCATATTTTCACATTAACTTATTAATATCATGTGCAACAAGTAAACAGGACACTTCCGGGCCGGGACAAGTTGACATGTCGATTTCTTGCTGAACGGCGTGGCGATCAATATGGCGCGTATCTAAATACAGGGAATTTTTAAAATTTTGTTAGTATAAATGGGCTAAAGAAACTTATCAAATATTTGGATTATGGACCTTCAAACTTATGCCAAGTATTTATTTGATTGATTAGCTCAATAACTGTTTTTTGGCTCGTTTTTCGTCGATTTCGACATTTGGTCAACCTCAGGATAATGTGTCAACATTGTGTGTTGCAGCCTGTGGACATGAATATTTTCGTTTGTTTGACCATAACACTTGTCTTCATTGTTTTTCATTCCTTGAACGATAATATATTCATTGGTCTCAGAGTCCTAAACTTGAGGAAGATGGATGACTTTGGGACAGATATCAAAATTTTGTTCAGATATCAAAATTTATGGACATTGCATATCAATCTGGCTCACTAGTCACAAATGGGGCCTGTTCTAATGACCTGGCTAGGTAGGAAAGAACATTTCCCAGTATTGTTGATATACTATCCTGCCACTATCCTGGCTAAGCACAAGGTATCCTTTGCCAGAATCCCAACTATGCAAGCCAATAAATTCACCATTTACAGTAAACATTCTATCCCACAACCAGGCAACATGAACTTGCCTTTAGGGTCCCATGCTGCCTAGCCCAGATCATATCAACAGACCCTTAACAGATCCTGAAACTACAATTGGAACATTTTAGGCCATAATTTTGTAGAATCAACCAGGTATTGTAGTATAATATCACACCGGGCAAGCTGGTCTTGCCCACATATTTTGGCTAAATATACACTTGCCTGTGGTAAGATACTGCCTAGCATATTAATTTTATATATGTTTGAGATTACATTCAAATGAAACAGCCTGGTTGAATTTATTGGCCCAGCATCTGCTTGAGCAAGTTGATATCCTGCATTGGGAGTCTCACACTGATAAAGGTCATAAGCTGGCCAACCAGTTCACTCGACTAAAAATCATGTAATAATACACAATTTAGCCCAAGTAGACCTAAGTAAGAAATTGACTAATATAAGCTTTCTGAAGCTGTTGCCATTAACAAATTAATCAGCATTTCAAACAAATTTCTTGCCAACACTTGCCAGGTTAGCCGGACTCCTGTGAGGTAAATGACAAACTAACCCTGAAAAGAAAATCCAGCCATGTTTGCTGGGCTAGCATGGCCCATTTTGACAGCCCATAACAAGGAGAGCTTATTTTTGCATGCAAGGGAGATCTGATTTTTGGAAGCAAGCCTATTTGTGAGGTCACTGGGGGCTTAATATTGGATTGCATTATGTAATATGTGTAAAATATTCATTTGTGCACAGGTATTCTGGTAATGCACAAATTTATGGACTAAAATGTTTCAATTATAGTAGATCGGGATGGGGACCTGTTAGTATTATCTAGACTATCCAGAACACATGCTTGAAGCCTAATTCATGTTGCCTGTTTGGTATACAGTGCTTATTGTATATGGTGAATTTCTTGGCTTATATATAGCCAGGATTCTGGCAGTAGAAACCTCCCGCTTAGCTAGGCCTATAGTAGCAGTATAGGATGGAAAATACTGGCAAATGTTGTCTCCCACCTAGTCAGGTAGTATGAACAGGGCCCAATTGTGACAAGTGAGCCAGATGAAGTAAAAAACAATGAAGTTCATATACAGGTATGTCCATAAATTTTGATACCTGAACAGCAACATTGAACAAAATCATTCTGCCCCAAAGTCATCCATCTTCCTTAAGTTTAGGACTCTGAGACCAATGAATATGTTATCATTCAAGGATTAAAAACAATGAAGACAAGTGCTATGGTCAAACAAACGAAAATATTCATGTCCACAGGCTGCAACACGCAATATTGACACATTATCCTGAGGTTGACCAACTGTCGAAATCGACGAAAAACGAGCCAAAAAAACAGTTATTGAGCTAATCAATCAAATAAATACCTGGCATAAGTTTGAAGGTCTATAGTCCAAATATTTGATGAGTTTATTTAGCCCATTTATACCAACAAAATTTTAAAAATTCCCTGCATTTAGATACGGGCCATAACAATAATTGATCGCCACGCCGTTTAGCAAGAAATCGACATGTAAATAGAATAGAATAGAATAGAAACTTTATTTCACGAGGGAAAACGTATTAACCGTAAAAAGTTATCTAACATACGGCCCTCGCACTATTTTGATATTTACAGGCATAAAAAGTATTAAGGATTACGACTATTTACATTTGAGAAAAAAATAATTAGTAACGAATACAATTACAATTTAGTAAATATTTACAATTTATACAAAATAGATCTTCGATATGGTTAGTAAGGGTAAGCTTGTTAAGAAAGATTTTACGAATTTTTTGTTTGGCGTTAGTATATGAAGAGCAAGATGGCGAAGCAGCAAGTTGCTTACAATCGCTATCTAAGCAATCAAAAAGAAAAATGTCAACTTGTCCCGGCCCGGAAGTGTCCTGTTTACTTGTTACACAGGATATTAATAAGTTAATGTGAAAATATCTAAATAAAAATATCTTTAAAAAAATAAAACCTCTCAAACCTCGATTTGAAGAGCTTTTAAAAATTCTAATCCGTTCGGAACCCACAAATTCGAGCAGTAGTATTTAAGCTTGCCAAAGGCAAAGTTTGAAGACCGATATCCTCGCAATCACGTAATTAATCAAAAATCGCGACGAGGAAGTTGAAGAGAATTCTTTTCAGAACAGCATATATCAATTTCATGGCAAAACCCCAAAAAACCGCTTGCAGCAACGCTCTGAAGTAACCCCATATGTTGGTTTACAAATTTCATGTGATGACACGTTTCATGCATTCTGATTGGCTTAGGCCGAAAATGTAAAAAAAAGCGCTGATTGGCCGAAAACAAAATTCCCCCTTGTTGTGCTCCAAGACATGGAAACAGATTTTAAAAAAATGCTGAGATGTGCCGAACTAGGTCAGATTTAGATGGCATTTTTTGCCGACCCCAATTTTGACGGTTTTCGAGGGCTGATTTGAAAATTAAAAGGTCAACATTTGTGAATTCCTCGGTAATGGAATGAAACATGAAACTATTGTAATTTAATTACAATAGTTTGATGTTCGGCAACATGAACACTTATGAAGTTCAAGATTGAACTATGGCACTAAAACTAAATAAAGATTCAATTGTTGTACCACAAAAATGCATGATGTTGGCATGTAATCACATTAGTGAAGCGTTGATGATCAGATATTTAATCAATCATTAATACAAGGTGTAGTTCCAGATATTTTAAAATTTTCTAAAGTAACACCAGTGTATAAGGGTGGCTAGACTGTGGATCCAAATAATTATCGTCCTACTTCGATGATAAACACATTTGAAAAAAATATTTGAAAAACTGGTATACAAACAGCTAATCAGCTGCGTCGAAAAATATAAAATTCTCTTTGAATTTCAATATGGTTTTAGAAAAGGGAAATCAACAACTTTGTCAATAATTAAGATAACTGAGAACTTGAAAAAGGCAGGTGACGATAATGTATTCACTTGTGAGGTGTTTTTAGACTTTTCCAAAGCAACTGATAGGCCTACAGTAAATCATGAAATTTTAGTTACGAAAATGGGGAAGTATGGAATAGGAGGAAATCCTCTCAAGTGGTTTACCAGTTTCTTAACATCCGTCAACAATAGTCTCAATACAAAACGTTATATCGTTTTAAAAAAATAATCAAATGTGGAATACCTCAAGGTAGTACTTGGCCCTTTAGTATTACTAATATATATTAATGATCTTCCAAACTGTACCAAAAATTTGAATTTTAGGATTTTTGCAGATGACACAAATATTTTTGCTTCATCAAATATAATGGTGCTGAGTTAGAAAAACTAATAAATTCTGAAATGGATGAAGTAAAGTATAAGTAAGAATAGTAATATTCAGTAATACGAAACAAGTTTGTAGTGAATAAATCTTATGAAGTAAACCAGGTTTATATTATCTTTATCTTTATTAGCTCTATACTTCGATATATCGAGCACTCTACTCACAAATGATTCTAAATATACATATTTGGTATATATATGGGTAGCCTTTGACTCCCCTGTTGAACAGCATTTTAAACACTAAATTCAGAAAGGTTCAAGAATATAAAATTAGGGGACCCTAAAAACATGGGCCCCTAAATGTGCAGAGCTCCTAAAATGCGGTGCCCGTGGATATGCCGCTTCTGCTATATTGTTAATCCGACACTGATCATATACATGTATTTATAATTCAAAAAGGGCTAATTAAAAAAAGGTTGTCCATTGCAATTAGAAATCATATATGGGCCCCATTTCTTAAAGATATGGTACATGTAAATATCTCCATACGAGAACAGGTACAAATAGCTACGACATTCAACAACTAAGCCTGAAACTTGGGCTCCGACGCAGAGTTAGCAGAATTCCCCAAGCAACACTTTCAAGGTGCGATTTTAACAGAAATGGAGAAGTTATGGCTTCAAGAATGCAAAGTCGAAGAAGCGAAATCCCACCAAAAATGGGAAAGAAACCAAAGTTGGCTAGAAAGATACGAAAAAGAATTTGATAACAATACCTTGACCAAACCGAAAGAAAGAAAGAGAAACAACCAGCGACAGAATAAGCCGATCAGTCAACGCTTTCGCCAACCCGAAACAAACGTAAAAAATGCGCCAACGCGGAAAAATGGAACAAGCTTCCAACAGATGAACACTGGGTTGCAAAGCAGAAAAACGCAGAATAGAGAGGAAGTACAACAGAGATACACCAGACCACAAAATCAACAGCGAGGGCGCTCGGATCAACAGGACAGGCCACGTAAATTCTCGAGAATCCGAGACGAACTCAACGCGAGAAAACCAACGTATGCAGAAGCCGCCCGAAGTCCAAACAATTGTCGAAGTGAACGCAAGCGACAAGCAACCACTACCATCGATTACAACCAGAGACAACCGAAACATTTTTTGGGATCAACCCACGGAGGCAATTATCCACCAACGAACAATCGTCAGTTGGTGCGAAATCACCAACAAAACCAAAGAATAAAGTGAACAATGAAAGGAAGATTGACCCTAAGATTATCAACCTATTCATCGCGTGAACTTTCGATCGATGAAATATCATTACTGAAGAAAGGGTTAAAATTTACGGAACGCCATCTGCAAACAAAAAGGAACTTAAGTTAAGAACGATGTTCAAGAATTTGGAAGAAAATTACGTTTGATGGAGTATTGCAATGATAACCAGCAAAAAATGTAGGACAACTCTATTGTGAAAAACAAGTCAAATTTTGTACCTCCAAAACCACAAGATAAATATCTGGACACGTTCCTTAATGCACTATCCGACTATCCTGAAAATACACGATCAACAAACCACAAAAACTATTTAAGTAAAGGTGAAAGAACGGCACTTATAAACGATAACAATATTATTGTAAAAGAAGCAGATAAAGGTGGCGCAACAGTAATAATGGATAAAAGATACTATAAAGATAAAATAGATGAACTATTATCCGACACTGAAAATTATGCGCTAGTAGAAAACGGTAATCAGGATGAGACGGTCATGAAGAAAATCAAACAACATTTGGAAAAATTTCAACAGGAAACAACCAAAACTGAAAAGGAATATATACACAAATTTACATCAAAGACCTCCAATTTCTACGAACTTCCGAAGATCCATAAATGTGAACTGATTACTAGAACAATAACGGAACAGAAAAGAGAATACGTTAAACTTCCTGCACCAAATAATTTGAAATTCCGACCAATTGTAGCTGGACCTCAATCCCCAACGCACCGCCTAAGCAACTTTTTGGATATAATTCTCAAACCACTTTGCCAACATGGCCCAGTTTCATCAGAGATGACATTGATTTTCTGAATCACTTGCCAGAAGAAATCCAAGAAGACACATTACTTGTTTCATTTGATGTTGTAAGCCTTTATACTAGTATTCCGCACGACCTTGGCCTAACTGCCATGGAATACTGGTTAGACAAATACATGAACAGTTTACCACGGAAATTCTCAAAAGGCGTTATATTGGAATCCATCTCAATTATTTTAAAAGAAAATACATTTAATTTTGACGACAAACATTACCAACAGCTACAAGGGACGGCAATGGGAACAAAAATGGCGGCAACCTATGCTACATTAGTCATGGGATGCCTGGAAACCCAATTATACGAAAAATATGGGGAAACGTTTGGAAACGAAGATTTGGAAGAACTGATAAGGACTTTTAAAATATTTTATACGATTTTTTCTTACTTTGGAAGCGACCAATAAAAGAACTACATATTTTTCACGAATTATTGAATAACCTCCACGATAAAATTAAATTTACCATGGAAAAAGACGAAAAAGAACTTCCATTTCTGGATGTACTAGTTTACAAAGAGAATAAAAAGCTACACAGATATATTTTATAAATCGACGGACACGCACCAATATCTAAACTTTAATTCCTCCCATCCAAATCATACTAAACGCAATATCCCGTATTCGCTGGTTAAAAGGATCTGTACCATTGTATCGAAATCTGAAATATGGGACAAAAGACTGGAAGCACTTGAAAATTTTCTCACGGCGCAGAACTACCCATTGAAACTAATCAAACATAGTATTAATCAAGCGAAGTAATTTACAACTACAGAACGTCGTCAAACCAAACCCCGTTCTAATGAAAACTCGAATGTCTTGCCACTGGTGATAACATATAACCCCCGAAACCAACAGATCGTCCAAAAAATAAAGAATGATTTACAGTTCCTGGACAACTCACTTAAAATGAAACCAATATTAGAGAAAACATGCCTTATAGTAAGCAGACGTCAACCGAAAAACCTGAAGAAATACCTAACTCGGACAGAATTTTCATCAAATTGTTCAACTGACAAGCGTGTATCGAAATGCAACGAACCACGATGCGGGACATGTAACATTTCAGGAAATTTTCATTTAATCACAGGAAACAAAATAACTTTAAAAAACGGAAAAAATTGGGAAAACAAATCAGACATGACGTGCAAAGCGAAAAATGTAATATACATAATAATTTGCACAAAATGTCAAGAATTCTATATCGGTCAGACAGAAAATTTAAGGAACAGAGTTACACTGCACAAGGAACACGTAGACACAAGAAGTTACAAGTCAGCGAACATTTAGCTGAATGTAATGATGGAAACTTTATGATAATGCCAATATACAAGTGCGAGAATACAACGAAGCTGTTCAGAGAATCCAAAGAGCATAAAATCATAAAAATTCTTGAACCACATCTAAACTCTAATACGTAAACAACAATTAGCATTCTAACAATGAATAGAACTGTCGGCATCACCACAGAAAACACCGACAAATCCATCAGCAAAAGTAATTAGCGGTAACATTAACATAAGAATATAGAATAGCATCATTATCGTAATAACAAAGCGCATGTAAGATATAAATACCGGTACTAAACCACTAAACTATTCATATGTAATATGCACCTGAAGAACTTTGAATAAAGTGAAAACGTTAGTGCAAAAACAATTTCTATATCTCTCAACTTGTGTTCAACTTAACAACCTTTTATATATATATATATATATATATATATATATATATATATATATATATATATATATATATATATATATATATATATATATATATATATATAT